AAATAAATAAATAAATAAATAAATAAATAAATAAATAAAAACACATGTTCAGCAAACCTCAGCCCACACAACAGACCATCCACTACCTCCTTAGTCTTCAGTAAGTTACTGCCAAGAGGCCTGTGATCACATTCGAGGAAGTTTACCTCTTTCATCCTAAAGAAAGCCATTCCTGTCAGCAGTGAGTCTGAGCCTGCTTGGTGCTGCCTTCCAATCCTCTGCAAATCCAACTGATCAGCAACTTCCTGAAGACCTCCCTGGAGATATATGAAAAACAAAGATAGTATTACAGACACAACATGCCTCTACTGAAGTCAACTAAGTGCAGTTATGAGTTCACTAAATTCTAGCAAGAAATGGGGACAGGCCATTTATTTAACAGGCCTTAATAACCTCTTTTTAGCTCTTTTCTTCCCTTTTTCCAAATGCTATATTGTGCTACATCCTATATTTTGCTCCTTTCCATGTTGTTGATTTTGCCAGACCTCTGCCTTTAAAATCAGAATTGCAAGGCTGAGGAAATAGTAAATCCCACTCTAATTCTAGACAGCAAAGCTCTATGTCAACAATTTATTAGGGTACCAAGTTCTAAAACTTTCTAGAGTTAAGAACCCCTCTGAGAATCTGATACACCACAGACCCCATCCCTAACAAACAGCATTTATACCTTTTCATTAGGTTCATGGGCCTCGAGTGAAGAATGCCTGCCTTAAGATGACAGAAGCAGAGGGTTCCCTTCATGGCCACACAAATATCTGTGCAAATCAGCTTTATATTATACCCTGTCTACCACCACACTGGCATCTAGTACTCAATAATGCATGCTGAACACATAACAATAAAGCAAAGTCAGCTTTTTTTCTGTCCTTATTTTTGTTACTGGTATTAAGAAAAACATCATATACCTTAAGATTTTTGCAACTCTTCATCAGGTATTTCACATCATAAATGGATGGGAAGAAAAGGTTCAGAATATGAAAGAATTCATGTTCCTCTTCTGGCAAACGAGAATCTGTAAGCAACTTTACCATATAGCCAAAATCATAGCCACTACAAGGGGAGAATAAACCACAGAGGTTAAAAAAGCAGCAGTTATCAGGCCCCAGTGTTCAACCATTTTATTTCTCAAAGCTTGTAAATGCTACTTCGTGTTAGGAACTTTCACTTTTTCTGAGTAGTTTATTGTACTATAATCTGAATCTTTTTTTTTTTTTTTTTTTTTTTGAGACAGAGTCTCGCTCTGTCGCCCAGGCTGGAGTGCAATGGCGCGATCTCGGCTCACTGCAACCTTCACCTCCCGGGTTCAAGCAATTATCCCTGCCTCAGTCTCCCAAGTAGCTGGGATTACAGGCGCCCGCCACCATGCCTGGCTAATTTTTGTATTTTTAGTAGAGACAGGGTTTTGCCATGGTGGCCAGGCTGGTCTCGAACTCCTGACCTTAGGTGATCCGCCTGCCTCAGCCTCCCAAAGTGTTGGGATTACAGGTGTGAGCCACCATGCCCGGCCTATAATCTGAACTTTCCAATAACAACCTAACAGGCTAATATGGGAGATATAAAAAAGTACCCAAAAGTTTTAACTGTGGATTTGATTCATCAAAAATCCAAAAGTACTGAGAAGTTAAAATAAGGAGAATCTGGCTTTCAAGTACCTAAGAAACTCTGAGGACAGCCATTTAAAAGATAACCAAGTACTGTGACCCTCTCCACCCACCATATTCCCACTTGGAATTAAACCCACTGATAGCCACATGATAAAGCCAAATACCGTGTGAAACAAGCCAGTATATAAGCCCCAGTATTTTCTGAAAAACTGAAACATGGGCAACAAGTACCAATTCAACTTCTGACTGCTGCTGATGAACAGAACAGTCACTAGGACTTCAAAAATGACTAAGAATTCAGTTCCCTGCTCCAGCGTAGCCCAAAGCGAGAGAGAAATACACATTCCCTAGGACTGACCTATGAAATGAAAGCCATTTGACATTGTCACAGAGAACCACTCCTGATGTCATAAGCAGTTCTGCAAAGTGCAGTGTGTCAATCCCTTCCTCTTCATGCTTCTGAAACTGTAGTCCTGAGTTAGCAAGGAGATCTATGGAATCCTGGGAGTACATGTCCTCTCTAAAAAACAAGGTGTTTATTTATTAACTGGTGAATAAAGAAACAGAAGTAGTGGCCACAATATTACCACCACCTTATACTTATAGTACAAGTATTTTTGAAATGCTTTTCCTAACTTAATAGATCAATTCACTCTTTCCAACATTCAAACAAGCATGCAGAGTAGATCATCATATTTCTGTGACAGATAGAAAAATGAGATTTTCCTCCATAAACTAAATTTCCTAATTATAATGGGTATACAGTTGCTCATTATTTGGGGGAAAAAAAAAAAAAAAACCAGGCACAGTGGTGCACGCCTGTAATCCCAGCACTCTGCAAGGCCAAGGCAGGAAGATCACCCGAGGCCAGGAGTTCCAGACCAGCCTGGGCAACAGACAAGACTCTGTCTCAAAAAAAAAAAAA